AAGATCAGACCTCCCTGTCCTCTCTTACTACATCCTCTGCTGTTGCCCTTTCTCTCACAACACTCTGACTACACTGGCCTTTTTGATGTTCTTGAACATGTTGAGTTTGTTTAGGCCTCTGGGCAGTTTCTGTTTCTTCTGCCTGGAACCTATTCCCCAAGTAATTACATGGCTTGCTACCTTACTTCATTCAGTTCTCTGCTGAAGTGTCATCTGCCCAGAAAGGCCTCTCTGACTGCCCCATCTAAGGAGTGTGCCACCTCCCCCTCCCCATCACTCTCCAGGCCCTTGCTCTGCTTGGGGTTTCTTCACAGCACTTATCTGGTTTCATATTTATTTGTTTTAATTTTTTTTTTGGGGGGGGGACAGAGTCTCGCTTTGTTGCACAGGTTAGAGTAAGTGCCATGGCGTCAGCCTAGATCACAGCAACCTCACACTCCTGGGCTCAAGCAATCCTTCTGCCTCAGTATCCCAAGTAGCTGGGACTACAGGCATGTGCCACAATGCCCGGCTGATTTTTTCTATATATGTTAGTTGGCCAATTGATTTCTTTCTATTTATAGTAGAGACAGGGTCTCGCTGTTGCTCAGGCTGGTTTCGAACTCCTGACCTTGAGCAATCTGCCTGCCTTGGCCTCCCAGTGTGCTAGGATTATAGGCGTGAGCCACCGCGTTCAGCCTGTTTTAATTTTTGATAGTTCATCTCCTCTAATAGAATATAATACTAATAGCCATGCCTGTCACATAGTAGATGCTCAGTAAATAAATATTGACTGAATGACCCTGGGCAATTTAAACTTTCTGGCTGCATTTTCATCATTTGAGAAATGGGGAAAATAATGTTATTTACCTCATAGAGCAGATATGAATGTCACCTGAGATGTTGGATATAATAAGATACTATGGCAATAGTGTTGCTGTTATTTTATAATTATCATTAAGTAATATAAATGATTTAAATCTCTTATAATCAATCAACAAATATACACACACACACACATATATATATATATATGAATGCTATGTAAGGTAGAATCTTTTGACAATGGTTGATTTAGAGGTGTAATTAGTAACCCATAGTTTTTGATAACTAGATCAGAAGAAGTAGATATAAGTACATGAAAAGTTAAATCCCATAACTAATACATAAGGCTGATGAATTTGCTGCTGCTGATTATGATCGCTGTAAGTATTCAGTGATTTCTTTTAAGCTGGGGGAATTCGAACCCTTTTCTGTCAGGGTTGGGGAGGGAAGGGCACCACTGGGGGTTAGGGCACAAACCCAAAGGAGAGGAAGAGCCAGGCAGTTTGAAAAGTTAAATGAACCAATTTGGCTGGAAGGAGAGATCTTATGAGTGGGCAGTTTGAGAGCAACACAAAGAAAACAGAGTAGGAACTAAAGCGAGTGGCTTCAGGCTAACCAGCCAGGGCAACAGGAAGCCCTTCCTTACATAGATTGGGTAAGCAAGGAAGGAAGTGCTTCTGGGCAATTAGGAAAGAAGGTGAATTATCAAAGTCTTGTTGCTACCAGGTTGTGTCCCCTCTTACTCTACAGTGCAGGTGGCCCTGGGTATCTCCTCTGCCTGGTGTCAGTGGGTGAGACAGATATGCTGTATCCAGAGACAGGCAGTGGCAGGAGGGCCAGCTCTTCTGTTGCTGGGGCCCACAAACCAATTTTGAACTCTCTTTTTACCACAAGAATTCTCACTCTACTTTTTAGGTGACTGACTAGAAGGCAAATGACAACATATACTAGGGCACCCTATTGAAGAAAAAGAAAGAAAGGAAAGAATAGGGGAAAGTAAAGATCCATCAGTGAACATAATAGCTTACATTTTAACATGCATATTAAGAACTAGCTTGTTTTTCAGCCAAATATACTGTATTGTGTCAGAGTAGTCATATAAAGCCATGTTCTTATTATTATATAAAAGGAAGGCTTGCATTCTATGGGCAAGACCAAAGTAGTTTGTGAACTGATCAGGTTATTTAAATATATTGGTTGCCTAGTCAACTTTGATTGATAAAATTTGCTTGAAATTATACAGTTTTGTGTAAAATTAAAGTAACCTAAAAAGTTGCCGGCGCATGTACGTTAAGTTTTTTATTATCAAGTTATAAAATGTTGTGACATTTTTAGAGGATTAGAATAGATTTCAAAGCAATCTGTAGTAATTAAGAAAATGACCCTGCAAAAGTAAGAGAAGCAAAATAAAACAAAATATAGACAGGAGCCATGACAGATGTCCCAGAATAGGGAATAGACGTGAAGACAATGAGCGCGTTGTCAGTACTGCAGCCCTGGCAACACGCGTCACAGATTAAATAATGAATGCCAGTTGGGGGGCACAGAGAGGAGAGGACAGAGAGCCCATTGTTTCAGCTCATCCATCTAATCTCAAAGTAATTGTTTAAGTAAAGGCTTCTGTTTTGGTTATAGCCAATGGAAAATTAAACAGCTAAAATACTGTAAATCTTGTAATTCACCCTGGATCACCAGTGAGAGCTAAATAACAGAGCTTTGAGCAAAGAAACAAATTAAATTGTTCGCCTTGCCTGGAAATGGAAGCCTCAACAGAAGCACGACCCAGTCGTTTGCTTCTGCACCCACTGTGCCTTCCTCTCCCGGTCGGGTCCTAGCTGGTGTGGGGTGAGGGAGAGGCTCTTCACCGCATTCTTCTGTGCCCATGACACGGCTCCACAGAGTGGGGTGACGGATGCCACCCTGCACCCCGGGGCTGGCACAGTGCCGGGGCCCAGGAAGTGGTGTTTTCTTAGACGGCAGCTTCTGCAGAGCTCAAGGCAGGTTTGGTTTGCCTGCGTTTTCCTCCTCGGGGTTACTGTGATGAGCTAATGAGCTAATGAGCAGGAAAGCACTTTACTTACACAAATGAAGGATTACACTTTTATTATTTTAGGGTATGGATCAGGTGGTGGAAAAAAGCACAAAATCAGAAGTCCTGGGTTTGCGTCCTGGTTTTGAATGCTGGCCTCATCTCATGCTAGGGTCTCCCTTTTCAAAATGCCATTTTTAAGTGTCCACCTGTGGCTTATTTTTCTCCCTTTTAAGTCAGATGTTCCTTACTTTTCTTGTGTGTGTGCCATGGGGACCTCTTTGACTTTCTAATGAAGTTAGTGAATCATACTACAGAACAATGTTTACCACATGAAATTAAATGCATAAAATTAAAATGCATAGGATTATCAAGGAAACCAATTATACTGACAAAGTTGTCAATATACTAAGTAAATATGTAATCTTGTAATACATGCCCATTATTAAAATGCATTACTTACCTATATCTAGTGGTAGGTTTAATAGCTACTGTAATTTTAAAGTCGTGATGATTGAATTGATACTTTGAGATATTTGCAATAACTATAATGTGATATGAAAATATATTTTACTTCTATTAAGGAGAAGTCACAGGAATGGCTAATTTTACTGTGAATTTTTGGCCTACATTTCTAATAGAAGGAAATGCTAAATTTCAATGGAAGGTGAATAGAAATAAAAATGAAATTTTTTTTTTCACCCAAATGCTGAATTCTGTCTGATATTGTCACTATCTCATGCCTTACAACTTCACCCTTTCTTCATATGCTGTGCTTTCTCCAGGGGCAAGCTCTGCACCCCACTGGCCCCCAGCTGCACCTGCCCTTTCTGTGCAGGTGACTCCTAGACGTGCACCTCCCCTGTCAGAGGACCGGAGCACCAGGCCTGCATCTCCTGGGGCCTCTGGACATGCACCCTGGATGCCCGCAGGACCTCCAGCCAGCCTCACAAAGCAAACTCCTTGGCTTGGCCATCCTACCCCCCACCTTCTCCTACCCCCCTGCTCTTCCTCCTTGTTCCCTCTCTCTGTGGACGGCACTAACAACCACCACACGGCTCAGCCCCAAGGGAGCAAGTGGGCACGCTGATGCCAGGGCTACTGTGCCAGTCTCCTTGTTAAGGCTCATGAAACTGTGAACATGTACATTTTAAAGCACTGGTCTGTCCTTCCCTTAACCTGGAATGTCTTCTAAATTGTTTCTTACCCAGCAAGGCGTAGTGCGTCTCACTTATCTTTCAACCTACACATCTGGTCATTTTCTGGTTAAAAGTCCCTTGATGGCGAACCTTTGTCTCTGTGATGTGACATGAGAGGACTCCTTCCTTCTTCATGGCACTTTTTTCCTGCCAGTCCTTCAGCCTCACCAAGAAGCAGTTCCTTCCCTAGAAGCAGTTCCTCCCTGTCCTCTCCTCAATTCCCCCTTGGGGACTGAGCAAGTGCCTGGAGACACCCTCCCTTCCACATCACCGTCAGCTCTCAGTTCTGTGGCCACTTCTCTGGAAAGCCTTCCTGAGGACTGTTCACAGGCAGTCCTTGTCCATTTACCTCCCTGCCTCGCATTTGTCCGGGCCTGGCAAGGTTTCACAAGTAGTATGCACTCAGGAAGACAGTTATTAAAGTGTACAGTTAGGAGCACTGACTTGGGTTCTAATCCCAGCTCCACTGCTAACTGTGAGATCTTGGCAAGGTACTCACCCTCTGGATGCCTCAGTTTTCTCATCTGTAAGACTAGTATAATAGGATGGTGAGGTTTAAATGAGTCAATACTTATAAAGCACTTTAGAACCAAGCTTGGTACAAAGTAAGAGCTTAAATAATAGCTATCCTTATTTGTTTTAGTTTTAGTAGTGTGTCTTGGGCTCATTCAAACCTCAATCCTACTATACTTTTATTTTTGCTGGGATTTTATTAAAGAGCATAGTCACTTTATTAAAGACTGTAGTGTAATGTGGGGCCCAGTATTTAACCCTTTGCACTCGGATGTCGAGTGTGACTTGACAGGGTTAGCAAAAATTATAGAGATGAAAATTACACTTTGAATATATCAATAATTTGAAGTATAAAAAATCCAAATAAATAAGTTTGTATGAAAAGAAACTCCAGTATTTTATTCTACTGCTGTGCTTTGTAAAATCTGGGGTATTTAAAAAATTAAATCCCGAGTAGAATAAAGGAATCAAGAAAAAAGCAAGTGAGTGCAAAGGGTTAACTGTTCTTCATCTTCATTGAGGTTATAATCAGATACTGATATTAGCAGAATTGAATGATATGAGACTAAAGGAAATAATTTTTGACATAAAGATAAGAGAAATCCTGGGGACACAGATTTTTAACAGAATGATGGGGATATAGTCTCATAGCAGTTTATCTAGCTGAGTTAGGAATTTATCTATATTTCTTCGATTTCAAAGATTGTGATGATTTCACAAGAATATTTATCGCAGCTCTTTGAACAGAGGAGAGATAAATATTACTTATCAGAGGATTTCTCTGGGCATATATGTTTATAAACCAGATCCACATAAAAGAGATGGTTTTGAATATAATTACATTTTTCCATGAACATTTTCATGTCTTCTAAAAATATTACACTCTGTAAGGGTAAAAATTTAAGCACACATTGTATGTGACTTCTGATCTCCTCTCTCTCTCTCTCTCTCTTTCTCTTTCTTTCTCTCTCTCTCTCTCTCTTGTTTTTTCTTTCTTCCAACATCAAAGTAATTATATTTCCCCTTGAGGCTTATTCAACTCTCCCTGCCTTCCCTTGGTTTCGCCAGCAGGTGGGGTACTAGCTCCTTTTAAAATCATCAGCCCCGAGCCTCGGGACCAACTTTCTCACCGAGGGGATTGTCTTACCTGCCCCCCATACTTGTTCTAAAAGGCCCCCAGGTGATGCTGTTGAGCCCTGACCTGAGAGTGGGAAGGGGAGGTGTAAGTTGAGTGAGTGTCAAATCTGAAATAGTCTCTAGGATGTACGTGGCTGATCTTTTTGAGCCAATGGCTTATGTTTCGAGTAACTTGAATTTTACCAGAAATACATGTAAATCTATTTGGTAACAAGTGTATCAAGTTTTTCTTGCCAATTTGATCTAACCTTATGGTTTAGAAGAAACCATAATTGAAGTTAGGAAACCTTGACCATTATGTTAAAATAGGTCTTAGTTATAGTAGAAATCACAGAATCAAGTCATTAGAATTGAAACTGTTGTTGGGTTGCAAACTAGGGGAAAATTATGTATACTGTAAACACATTGTGTTAGAAAGCTGAGCATAGATTCTTATTCTTTCTTAAGCTGGAACATTATTGACTGTGTTTTTAAGATTTAACCGCCTTAAGGAAATTTTCACTTACATTTTTCTAGAATGAAAAGTAAATTTAAATTTCTTACTTTGAAACCATAGTGAGTGATACTGAGTTCCATTTTGTTTATTTATTTTGCTTTTAAACATTTATTTTATTGTGTGTTGAAGAAAAGGAATAGGAGGCAAATGCCTGCTACATGGCAGGAACATACATTTAGCTATGCTTTGCGACTTTTTATCTTCTAGGCTAGCAGTAATGACATTTAAAGCAATAATTTTGGGCACGTCCTGCTCCACAATGCACATATATAGTATGGCCATCAAACATGTAAACATCAAGATATTTGGAGGAGTCTAATTATTTAAGTTCCATTTTAGAAGGCAGCAAAAAGATCCATTTTTCAAAGATATGTCATAGGTTATAAATGTATTCTAAATATGGGTGGTGAAACTGAATTATAAGAACGCTTTTAAGATTTACAGACACCAAGTCAGAATCAGAAGTTAGAAGATTATTTGACAAAGTTTCTTTTTGAACATGCATTAATTTTTGGACTGCAGTGATTATTGAGGTTTAGGCTTATTTAATGCTATAAAAAATCTGAGAATAGTGATAGTATGTAAGTTTGATTCTCAAAAACAGTAACTATAAATGTCCCATTTATGCAATGTGAAATTACAGTGTCCCATAACTTCCACCCTCCTTGGACGATATAAAAGTCATCTCATGGCCCTAATGGACAGCAGACTGTATTCCCCTTGTTTAAAAATAAATCAGTCTCTTTAACACAGTAACTGAGGAAAAAGAATGTAGTGAGAGTTCTCTTTCTTTGACTTTGTGCTTCGGTTTTCTTGGGCAGCAAAAATGAAGCCTGAAGCCTTAGCTCCTTCTGTACGTGGGTTTTATTTCTCACAGCAGCCTAGTGTCTATTTAACATATGGGGAGTGGTTTCAAGTTCATTACTGAAGCTTATAGGCTAAAGTGCTTTGTGGGCTCGGCTACGACTTAAGTTGCCTTTAGGGAGTTGCCAAAACCGGGCTTGGGAACTGGACGGCTTTCCCTGTTTATGTGGGTTCCTAGCGTAGTCAGTTTTTTCCCCTCTCAGCTATCAGCTGCTTTGGAGGTTAGTTCATAGTAAGGAGTCCTTCTTTAAAGTAAAATGGAGCGACTACTTTCACGGGGACACCAGGTTAGTAAATAACATTTTGAGCTTTCTGCTGCATGTGTCAGATTTTCTTTCTGTGCTCACGGGGAGATGATTGGACAGGCAGGGTACAGTTTTGCTGCTGCTGCTGCATTCTTTTAGAAAATAATGTGAGTTTGTTGATCCCACAAAGGTTTGAGGCTTTATGTTTTCCTCCTTATAATATATGCATTATTTGATAGTATTAGATGCAAATAGAAGCCAAGAAGAAATAACATATATGTGTTGGATTTGCAGTCTAGAAGTTTGAACTTGTTTGTAAGCATTTCAGTTCCTTTTTTCATAATTATTTTGTGTCCTCCCATTAAATCTTCTAGGTGTAACTATATTTTATACTCAGTTGGTTTTATTTTTTTGAACGTTAGACAGTAGTGTGTCATGCCCCAGCTAGCGATGTCATTCCTCACCACACTTGTCTGGGGCACGGTTGTCCCTTGGGCCTACTCCATGGAGTTACAATGAACCAGAGTATCATTTTAATTTTCTCTTTGAAAAGTCTGGCACTTTTCTAGAATGCCTCAATTGATTTGGGCAGAGTGTGCAGGTAGATCAAGCCCAATTGAAACCCTTTGTCAGTTGTCACTGTTTTTATTGTTAAATGACTCTTCGGAATGTGAGATTATCCCAGGAGTAAATAACTGTAAAAACGGGGTGTGACTTGTAAAACATAAAAGTATTGTTAATAGCAATTAAGAAATTAAGTCAATAAAATTAAGTACCAGCAAAATATCTTCCTTCATCTGATTAATTTAAAGATCTAGAGAGCAATTTTACCATTGTTAATCTGCACCGAAGCAGTCTGGCATGAATTGTTCCATAAGAGTAGTTCAATTTCATGATGTCTTAAAGTTTGCAACACTTTAAAAATGGTAGCTTCTTTTGCTTGTATGTTATTTTTAAGTATGCTTTAGTTCAGGGTAATGTACTAATGTTTTAAAATATGCTAATATGCTTCTCTTATTGCCATTTTATTCTCTTTTATTCCCCCCCCACCCCACCCCCCAGAAAACTTAATATACCAGAAAGGGTCTGTTCTTTCATGTTCTCTGTTTAAAAAAAATCAAGGGAGAAGGGAGATAGAAATAGATATTTTAAAAGATCCTTGAGGTGATATGCTAAAGTTTAAGGATCCCATATCCCATCTGTGCTGAGGTTGAAGTTGTAAAGTTATGTCTGCATGCCATTTCAGGTTATAGAATTGACTGTCTTTTACATCCCTATGACACAATTGTATGGCTATATTATTGCTCCTGCCTCTGCAGACATTTTCTTTAACAGCAAATCCATTAGGTCATTTTAGCTTTCCCAACAGTACAAAGGTTGCTATGACTTTACTTTATATATATGCTATATGTATACACACGTACACACAATTGCACATACATGCTATTATGCAATTTTTAATTATTAAATGCTATTAATTTAAATTTTAAGGAGAAACTTTTGTCAACCTGTTTGAAGCTGCCCGATGATTTTAAAGAGAAGTGTTAAATTTTACTTACTGATTACTTGCCTGTGCTTAATGGGTATGGGTAAAAGTCTTTAAAAAGCTTACACAAAATTAATTTGTATCTTGTAGATCTCAGTTTCTGTGTTCCCAAGTGCTTCATAGCTTTTTCATCTAGAAATGATAACAAAACAAAATACAACTGATTAGAAACAGAAATAAACAATGTGGCAAAGCATAGGATAAGAAGGAAACTCTCTAAAATCCATATTTTGGGGTTTTTCTAGAGCATATACACGTTAAAATAAGTTTTCTCCAAAAGAGAGGAGAAAAAAATAAAGGATTGTAAGGTGTTCAAAATCTGTAAACTTGGGATAAAGTCTCTAGGCAGATCTTAGGTTATTTCTGATTTCAGATATAGAATACACATTGCAATTCTTGTTCTCATCTTGCTGGACTGGTTTTGTTTTGTTACATCTTTGCCTTTTGGCTAAAATCAAGTAGAGACAGGCGTATTTCCTATTCCTTGCCACCTAAGTTGATCTTTGTGCTGATTAATTTTTATTCAACATGCTTTCTTGTTGATATCCAAAGTGCTCTAGATGTCTTACGCATCTCAGACGGTTTATGAACCTAGCCCATGACCCAGTAGCATATGATACCAGTTCATCTCACTAACTTAAAGATCTAGAGAGCAATTTTACCTTTGTTAATCTGCCACCCGAAGCAGTCTGGCATGACATTGTTCCAAAAGAGTAGTTCAATTTCATGATGTCTTAAAGTTTGCAATCCTTTATAGGTGGTAGCTTCTTTTGCTTTTATGTTATTTTAAGCATGCTTTAGCTTTTAAAATGAATGTGAGTTTCAAAGTTGGAGACAAATCCTTAGGTAAACTTTTTCAACTTGAATTGGCTCATATCAAAAACACTGGAAAAATTGAATGGCATTAGAACATCAAGACTCTGAGAAAATAAATGAATAACTAAAAGTATTAATAGTTGTGATATTAGCAATGGGTTTTCTGACTTCCAAGCCTCAACAGATTTTCACCTGATCCTCCAGTTCCATTCCCACCCCACATCACTCCCCATTCCCACTCATAGTCTTGATCTTTGCAGCACCCGGTTTGGGAGGTATAGGCTCTTGCTCTGCAGTTTATGGCCTTGTCAGACTCATGCAGTGGCTACAATGAACAGTGCCTTCCTGCCTGTTCCATGCCAAACATCCTGGTTCTTGCCCTTCACCTCCTTCACCCACAGTGCTGGTGTGCGTGAGTCTTGTGCTTCTGTGTGAGAAAGTGCGGGAGATTCTGATGCTACCCACCCTGGAAATTCACTATTCTAGTAATGATGGTAAATACTAACTTCCCAGAAGGATTACAAAAGCTGAGGACAGATTATACTCCTGGAGTTTATTTGATCACAGATCTCCCCAGTTCTCTGCTTCATTCTGAAGAACCCAATTTAAGTTTGACCTGGAATTTCTTGTGGGGGTGGTGGTAGTAGGAGTCATAGCAGGAGTAGTAGAGTAGTGCCAAAAGTAATAAAAACAAATACTCAGAAAGCATTCCCGAAGTGCAATTGCTGTTCTAAATCTCCTGTTTAATCCTCGCAACAACCCTAAGAAGTCAATTGTCTTTATTATCCTCATTTTACAGTTGAGGAAACCATCCCAGAAAGGTTAAGTAAGTTGATCCAAGTCAGAGAAGCTAGTAAGTAGCAATGAGAGTATTGTGCCTCAGGGGCTGTGTGGGAGAAAAAAAAAACTGGTAAATTAATATTTTCAGATAATATAATGCAGTATTTATCAAGAAGCAACTATATAACCACTGACATATGTGCTGCTCTTCATATCGAAGATGCTCTGTTGACCTATTGCCAACCAGCGAGGCAAGCCATTTGTGTCCTTTTTCTGTTGGGAGGGAGTGGGAAGGCTTGTTCTCTGCTTTCTTACGTGTTCTGCTGGTGACCAATGGCCAGAACCTGGTGACTAGTGGCAGTTAATAGAGGTTGCCCCTGGTTGGTAAATGAGATCAGTGGTGACCAGTCCACATGGAGAATAAGCCTGCTACTTAAGCTCATCTTGGAACTTTTGAGACTTTTTAATGGTAAAATAATAAGGCCACGAAAGCTAAGAATTTGGACTTTCTGATTGTTTAGTTTTAATTTGGCCTGTATGAGTGGCCTCTTTATTCCTGTTCAGAATGACTTCCTGCCGATAATCAAAACTCTAGTCAGTCTTGTAGGCTCTCTGAAGCTTAGTGGAAAGCCAACATTATGTGACATGTAATTCCTTTAAAAACATTAATGTGCATTTCAAAAATGTTGGGCCAATATCTTACACTAGATTTGGCTAAAATTTAAACATGTTACATGGAAGTTTGGAATCTTTAAAAATATATAACAATGTAGCCCAGATAGAGTAAAGAGGTAAGCTATATTTAAAAAAAAGAAAAAGGAAAGAAAGAAAAGAAAAGAAACCAAGCAATAAAAATTCTTATCTTTGGATGGGAAAGAACTTTCTCTTTCCAAAATCAATACAGAAAATCATAAAAGGAAGAGGTCAATAGATTTTAATTTTCTAGGTAAAGGTATAAAAGCTTTAAATACAAAAATGTTCATTGAAACATTCTTTATTACCATGACAAGTTGGAAATAATGAAAACATACAGTAGTAGAAGAAAATTACATGATAAGCCATTATAATTTTATTTATGAATTAAATTATAATAGGAGGAAATGGTGATGATGGATCTTTTTTTTTTTTTTTTTTCCAGAGACCTACTTTCTCTCTGTTGTCTAGGCTAGAGTACAGTGCTACAATCATAGCTCACTGAAGCTTTGAATTCCTAGGCTCAAGCAATCCTCCCACCTCAGTCTCCCAAAGTATCCGGGATTACAGGCACGCACTACCACACCCCGCTATTTTTTTTTTTAACTTTTTGTAGAGACAGGGTCTCACTATGTTGTCTAGGCTGGTCTTGAACTCCTAGCCTCAAGCAATCCTCCTGCCTTGGCCTCCCAAAGTGCTGGGATTATAGGCTTGAGCCAGTGATGATAGATCTTTAAGTTAAAATGCTGGATATTAAACAATTTGTACATCACATACCTGAATGTGTTTAAAATATGTCTACCTATGTATGTGTTATGCTTAGGAAGACCACAGAAAGCATGATCACCTTAATTTAACAGAGGTCTAGGGGTAATTTTGAAGGTGGAATTTCTGATGCTTTGTATTTTCTGATTATACTTTTCTGCATATTGGTATTTTTAAACATGATTACTTTATATTTAGAAAAAATAAAAAGAGATATTCATGGAGAAAAAGAATGAGAACAAGATAGACCAAAAGTTAATAGTAGACTTACATTATTCGTAATCTATTTAAGGTAGTGGCTGTCAGAATGGTTTTATTTCCTAAATTTTTTTGTAAGCTTAAGATTTCCTTTAATAAGAATTCATTATTTTATAACAAAGATTAAAATAGATTAGGAGTGACAGGTTAGAGGAGAGGCAAGATCAATTTTTATAAAGGACAGGATAATTTTACTTAGGAGAACAATTTTTTTGCTGCACTTATACATTATGTTAGGAAACTGGCTTTTTCATTTGTCTGCATCAGGTTTAAAATTTTAGTTAGATGTTATAGCTAATCAAATTATAAGGTATATAATTTATTTAACAAGGGACGTGGGAGGAAGCTCACTTGCATACTTGAAACGTCAGTACAGGAAAGATACTTTGAGGGATTTTCGATGTATCCAGATGTCCAGACAACACTTTTTTAGTCAAAAAGCAGTTGATGATATGTAAAAAGGGACAAGTCGACAGACTAAGACAATCCTTAGAAGAGATGATTTGACTGGTATAATGAAGATGGAAGAAAACCTTGGAGTAGCTGACTTCCATCGTCCTCCTCCTCATTTTATAGATGAAGTCATTGAAGCCCAGAGTGATTGAGTCCCCAAGGCCACAAGGTCCTGGTAGACTTGATTGAAACCTTTTGGGGTCCTTTGATTCCTCCATCGCTGCCCTTTATAATATCATATTCTGCCCATTTAACACATTTTAGTGAGGATGAATGAAATTATATTTCCATTTATCTTAGGTTGGTAAAAAATTAAAAGCTAATACCATTCAGCACTTACTTAATGATGTTTGAGAAAGTGGCAGAAGGCTGATTCCTTCTTCCAAGGAAAACCTTCAACTTCACGGACACGGCCATTGTTCTCACTGTTGTTGTCTGAACATTTTGTCCTCCGGTACAGGTTTAGGTAACACACATCTGGTTCCATGTTTGTTCTGGAAGGCAGAAGCCACATGGAGCCACTAGAGAACACTTGATACTGAGCCCTGGAGATCGTTTTTTAGCAGCTTTATTGACATTATATAATTTATAGATCATAAAGTTAACCTTTTTAAAGTGTACAATTCAATATTTTTAGTGTATTTACAGAGTCATGTGAACATCACTATAATCTATTTTTTAATGTTTCATCACTCCAAAAAGAAACTTTATACCCACTCTCCCTTCCCACTTCTTTTCCTTCCCCAGCCCTAAGCAGCCCTTGTTTTTACTTTCCACCTCTCTAGATCCACCCATTCTGAACATTGCGTATGAATGGAAATGGAATCATACAATAAGCGAGAATCCTGGAAATTTTAATTTGACGCTCAAGGACCACTTCAGCAAACATGACCTGGTTCTTATGTAGCCCCCTCTTCCCAATAGCATACTGAAGTGTGAGATTAAGACCAAATGAACTCAGTCAGTGTTGCCACCTATTTTATTAGAGTAAATGACTTGTTTTTGTTTTCTGGAGTCCTTAATTTTTTAACTATTTAAAGTTAAAAAAAGAAAAAGGAATGGATACCCATTAAGACTGCTGTAGGCTATATCGCAAAATTGTTGGGCTAGACCATTGGTTATTAGTTGCAACTTTGAGGGAATTACTTGACTTCTGTAAGACTCAATTTCCCTATCTGCAAAATGGAGATGATAATAGCACTTACTTTAGAGGGTTCTTGTAAAAATTAAATGAAATAATGGATATAAAAGGTCTACCACAGTGCCTGATGCATTAGATATTGAATGAATATTAGTTATTGTTGTTAGGTGTCATTGAAAATAACCACAGTATATTATTTTATTTCATTTTTTATAAGTTTATGCTCTGCTAAAGATTTGAATTGGCTTTTAAGAATATTTGCATATCATTGAACATATACACATACATACACACACAGAGGAATAAAATACTAAAACCAGGGCTCAGAATTGATAGTGTTAGTAGAAATATAATATTAGTGGAAATAATAACAATAGTAATAATAGCTAATATTTACATGGCAGGTTTGTAATGAACATTTCTTTTCATGTCTATCCTTGTGAGTTGAGGCAATAATGACAAATCAGAAATGGGTAGAGACCACCAAATGAGAGCCCCAGGTTGGCAGGGACCTTCGATGGTCTCTAGTCCACCCTCATACCTGTGCATAAGACTTTGCCACAGGTGACAACTGGGTGTGTTGTGGCATTGGAACTCAGAGTGAAGGGTGAGTTCACCATCTCACAATATGTATAGGTACCATTTATACATATTGTAAGCACTTACTATTAGCTAAGCTAGAATTAGAACCCAAACTAACTCCAAAACTATATAATTAGAATGTAAAATTGCCTACTCAGGGCAACCAGTTTCCTTGTTAATAGTCCTGTTTTATAGAATGTTCTTGCACATGTTAAACTGAAATATACACTTTTGAAGACCCCCACCCTCCACTTCAAGAATCACAGTAGCTTCTATGTGGAGAACCAAACACCTAATTAGATAGTCCTTCAGATATCTGAAAACAGTTATCATGGCCCTCACTACCTTGCTCAAACATCCAGTGTTACATTTATGTTCTTTAGATACTCCAACCCACTGTACCTCTTCCTTTTTCCTGGAATAGGCTTTCCATTCAGGAATGCTCAGTGAACTTCTAAGTGGTCTTCAAGATTTCTTTTCAATGTTCCCCACCAGCAGCAAACTTCCCTAATCCCCAGATTGAGCGGCTACTCCTCTGAGTTCCTGCTACTCTTTCGTTCACACTCTGAGAATTTGCTGTATCTCTCCTGGACTGCGAGCCTCTAATGGTGAGCTCTGTTTACCTTTGTGCTCCTAAACCCCATCCCAGCAACTGACACATGGTAACTGCTCAGTACAGTGGAAGAGAGAATGTTGATCTTACTTTATTTAGATACCTAACTATATCTGATTTTAGAGAGGTAGAAACTATAAGAAGTGTTTTTGGATACCAACTGTGTAGGCACACCTTGATTAACTGAGAGCTGAAGCAGATAAACAAAAAGCCTGTGGCTTCTCCTAGACCAAAAGTAAACATCATCTAGGGGAATAAGATTATGAAGGTCTTTCATTTGTTTTTTGCATCATTCATTTTGGCTTGTAAATGAAAAAGTGCCCAGGAACATCCTGATGTAAGTAAAGTGCCTGTCTGTTGGGCAAGGTTGAGACCTGCCACCTTTGCTCAGAGAAATTTAGATTAAATGATTGTAACATTTAACAATGTGGTTGGATGACAAAGTTCACAGAAACTTATTACTTGTGTTCAAATAAATGCTGATAAGAAGATACAGTACAAAGTTATGCTTCTGGTTTAATCTGAGACTTTAGCAGTTTTTCATGGAGTATGTATGGAGATTTTTCCTTAAAGCATGGACAGAGAGTTAATTTGAGAAAAAAATACATTAACTGGGACAACCAAGGAGCTGGCCTATATCTGAAAGAAAGAATGTAGATCTCACCAAGGATTTGCTGTAATTCATAAAAACTGGACCACATCTTAAATGGATTGATTAAGGGCCCAACTGGAACATTCTACATGGAATGAGCCCAGGTACCAGTGCTGTTATCTGGGAGTCTCAGGACTCACCATGTGCCTACTCTGAGAGGTAGACTAAATACTTCCCTGCTCTGTGGAGCCTAAGAAACACTGATTCTTGACACCTGAGTTTGAATTTTCCAGTCTTCTCCATCCATCATGAGTCTTTGCCTCCCATCTGCATTGTTACCTCACCAGACACCTCAGTAAAACCATCTTCTTCTCCTTGCTTTTCACTGGTTTTGCTCTGCTGGAGGCCTGGGGGGCCACTTCTGCTCCCAGTAGCCCCCAGAGGTCTGGCCTAGATCTGATAGAGGAAGACACAGGTGTGGAATTTTAAAGTTGAAGTAGACGCAAGGGTGTGTATTGTGAGACCAAGGAGGAGGCTGTTCCGGAGAGCACTGATGGGGGTGACCCAGGGGCTGATGGAGCATCTCTTGTTTTAGGAAGCTCTGCATTTCCAAAGACTTTTTTTTACTATTGGATGGCTCAGTGTGTTAGAAAGTTCTCCTTTATGCTGAAGTGACATGGGCCTCTCTAGAATATCCGATCTGTGTTCCAGCTCTATCCTTTGGTGCTATGGAGGAAATATCTCCTTACACCCATAGGTCTTGGTATGTTGGAAATGCCTCTCATTTTTGTTTGGCATAGAAGCTTCAGATATATTCGATCATTTCTCAGAGTATCCTGATTTTCAGACTCTTCTTCAACCCAGTCCCTGTTCTCTCATCATCTGTGGTTTGCCTTTGTTGTCGCTCTATGGTCTTTAGACTTAACACAGTGCTCCAAATATAGACTGAACAGTAGGCTGGGATTATCAGCTACTTTCCTGGGATACCACTTTTCTGATCATCCATCCTAAGAGATCATCAGATATTAATAATAATATTAACATGTGCCCTTTTTTGGACAGTTACTATTTTCAAGGCAATGTGTCAAAGTGCCTTATATATGTTATGCCATTTTATGTTCACGACAGTGAATGGTTGTGCACTATATTATTGTATTTCCTTGATTCTAGGACACTATTAATGATAAGATACACCATTAACTAAAGTTGAACTTTTTAGGGAAAAATAGAGCAAGGAAAATTCCATCACATTAAATGTAGATGTAAAATGCAATAGTCATGCTAATTTCAGAAAAGTTAAAATACGTGTGTGCTAGGCAAAGGGGTACAGAAAGCATATCTTACAATCAAAGAACTATGCTATCTCCATTTTCTAGATGAGAAAACCAAGACTTAAGGAATTTGTGTGATTGCCACAGTATAGGATTCAGAGCCAGCTCTATCTGTAGCACATGCTCCAGCCACACGCTGTGCTCCCTCCCAAGTAGCCCTGATGTGAAGTCAGCTGACCCTAAATTCTCAGGGCCTTCTAATAAGAAGAGCTGCCAGGCTAGGTAACCACCAGCCTGTACGTGTGCATGTGCGTGTGTGTGTGTGTGTGTGTGTGTGTGTGTGTGTGTCAGCTTAAATGTAGACGTATACATTTATCCTATGAAATTTTGTCTTTTTTTGTTTAGCAGCGGACAACTTTGTGTATGTCTCTAATCCCCATATTTTTAGAGTGTGACACCAGTTCAAAAGTATACATGTTTTTGTGGCTCTACCAACCTACTACTAAATGTTGCATGAGAATGGTGTATCCATAAACAATGCCACCAGAAATGAGGTTGGTTCAGCATATCTGTTACTAGTTTTTAAAATATTCCATTACTGGTCCCATAGTGGGCTGGGAATTGGGGTCTGTTGTGGGAAGCTCATGCATGTGATTCTCTCCTGGGAGTTCTCAGGGCCCTGGAAGTCCCTATCCTAGGCTGACTCAGGCCTGTGGCTTCCCAGCCAGTACTCCTTTGGTAGTTAATATGTGACTCCCGGTTATAGTGGCCTCTGGCCTTCGCTTTGAATCAGATTCCTTGGGGCTGAAATGCCTTAAACTTTGCCCTGCTTCCCACCTGCCTTCTGACTTCGAGTGTGTTCACTCCCTTCATTTTCCTTTATTGTTAACCCCTGGGTCATTTGATGCCATTTGTAGAAAATCTCTGAAACCAGAGGACAATTCATGACAGTAACAGAATAAGAGTGTTGAGAATTAAAAGCAATTCTTTTTATAGTTCCATGGTTGTTGAAGGAGGAATATCTTGCAAACTTTTTAGCAGACACCTGGATGATTAATTAGCAAGAAATTTATTCTAATTGTTCCAGTTGTCCCTAGATGAAGACTTGGAGAGTGACAGTAGAAAGTGCTAAGAATGTGCCATTGAAGGCTTTAAGGAAGAGAAACTGCCTAGTAGATTTCAAATGACAAAAAGGATAAAACTCAAAACAGAGACAGAATTTTAAACTGTATGCTGTGCCATTCTCTTAATTCTGAGAAGTTTAGGGTTAGAAATAGAAAATAAATGTGATTTATTTTTCCCATTTTTTTTTTTTTTTTTTTTGAGACAGAGTCTCGCTTTGTTGTCCAGGCTAGAGTGAGTGCCGTGGCGTCCTAGCTCACAGCAACCTCAAACTCCTGGGCTCGAGTGATCCTTCTGCCTCAGCCTCCCGGGTAGCTGGGACTACAGGCATGCGCCACCATGCCCGGCTAATTTTTTTTTATATATATATCAGTTGGCCAATTAATTTCTTTCTATTTATAGTAGAGACGGGGTCTCGCTCTTGCTCAGGCTGGTTTTGAACTCCTGACCTTGAGCAATCCGCCCGCCTCGGCCTCCCAAGAGCTAGGATTACAGGCGTGAGCCACAGCGCCCGGCCTTATTTTTCCCATTTTTAAAATGGAAATAAAGAAAAAAGTCAAATATTCACCTTACCTTCTATTAAGGCTGCTTTGGGTTATGCGTGACTTTTACAGGTGGAGTTATTAGGGTTTTATAACACTATTTAAACAGGTAAGAGCTATTGGGCAAAATGAACTTCATCAGATGCTTTCTTAGGTTTTGACTCATAGTCCGACATAACTCGTATCTCTTGTGAGAGGATGGCTGCAGTCCTGCACTTCTCAGCCAAACACGCAGCCACTTTCTATCTGAATAATGTGTGCCACTTAAAACAAAAACCATAAACCTTATTGAAAAAACTCAAGTCTAAAACCATTTTAAGTTTAAGTTTAAATTAACTTTAGTATTGTATATGTGCTCAAAAAATGTGTAAATATGCAAAAGAATAAAGCAACCTTGAAAAGAAGTAATCCCTGGATTGTGAAGGAAGATGGTGATGTCATACAGATGTTGAGTTTTATTGATCCATAGGGAAACTCTATTCTGCCTGATGAATGATTCAGTATTTGCCAAAGACTTAATATATTTTTATTTGCTACATGATACCTGCTTCTAAGGACATGGATTTGGAAATTTTAGAAGGGGGTGGAACCATCGATACACTCCCTATAGATTCAGCTATTGCCTCTTTCATCAGTTATCTGGGGATCTTTATAGGTCCTTTATAAATATTCTCTTGTCCACTATCCAGTAGATGAAAGTCCTGATACAGCCATAGAAAGCTGGCTTTGTTCTGAGTACGATGCTTCTCTCATATTTTCCTTCTCAGATCTTCTTTCCTGTCATAAAGAAAATTTTAGAGGTAGTCTAAACCAGTATCTCTCAAGCTGATGTGCATATGAATCACCTGGATAGCTTTGTTTCTGGTGCATGGTGGTCAAGAGTCTGCATTTCCAATGAGCTTCTGGGTGATATCTATGCTACTAGTCCATGGACCACACTTGGGGTAGCAAGGCTCTCTAAGTTTCTACTGTTAATGCATCTGTCAGGCAGACAGATGGTGGAATAGGTGAGCAATAAAACAAACATGAAATGGAGGAGCCGCGAATGTTCATTGATCACTGTGATTACTTTGGCCAGTTTCCAGTCAGGTTCAGATAGGCAGCAGTGCACATCGATTAAGAACGTGGACCCTGCAGTCCTCTTCCTGCCACCCAGCTGCTGAGTCACATGGGCACGCTACTCATCTCTCTAAACCTCAGGTTCTGAATTTGTGACACGCTAGTAACGTGAAAACCTGCTTGACAGGTTATTGTGATGATTAAATGATATAATGTATATAAAATACTTAGTGCTTGCTAAATACTAGCTATCGCTAGTAATAATCTATGAAGCATTTATTGAACACCTACTACATGCCTGGCATATTAAGGTAGGTATGTTAAGATTAAAAACCATCTCTTTAATTTCAGTGGATATTTTACTGGTTTATTTGGGAGTGCCCAGAGTCGAGTAAAGGTCTAAAACTATTGACTCCAAGGCCAGAGTGCTTTCTGCCTACTTCTGTTTGCATGCTCATTGTCTATTTCTTACGCCAAGTAGGCATATTAAGCAAAGCTTGTTTCAGATCAACTTTAAGTGAAACCCATGCACTGAGTCATAGTGGGTTGAACATGTTTTAACTTATAAAACCAAGTGACTTATATTTGGTTCCTTCTGTTCCAATGAGTTATCTCTGCGAATGGAAATTAAAGGGCAAGTTTTCATTTTGCTTTGTTTCTTTATCAGCTGAACTGTTTTGCTTGAGCAACTGGAACTGTGTGATATCAAACAGGCACAATCAATTTCAACTCTGGTAGATCAAATTCTGAGCATATACTTGCCTTCCTCTTTTGGTATCTATCTTTTAAAGTGATTTTAAAAGGACTCAGTCTTTGCGTGAACTAACTTGTTTTTCTAATAAGAGATTGCAATATTGGTACCTTGCCTCTTTCCAGCCATCATCCAGCACAAAGGCACTTGGGCCTTCGAAAAGCTGGATATTCCTGCTTTTTATCCACCTTTTGTGCCTTTCTTTGGAACTCTGTCTTGAAAAGAAATGATCACTGACCCAGAATTTCTCTTTCATTTATCTAATCGGTTTTTCTAGTTATTGAGACTCACATGCTTTTTTAGTTCTTTGTGATACATACTTTTGTAATTTTTTAAAAAGATACTAGTTTGGGAGAAACTCTCCCAGTGTAACTTTTGTAATTAACTCACTGAGCAAGGTCTTCAGATAGTGGAAACAGAGGAATTAAAGTAATATTCAATATAGACATTGACAGATTGCTTTCTTTAAGTGTTTTGACAATGTCTTTTTTTTAATTATAAGTAGCAATTTGTCCATTTTTGTTGCAAGAAATGTAAAAATGACTTTTGCCTCTGGTTATTCCTGTGTAGGATCAAGGAAAATTAATTGCTCTTCCTTCAAATATTAGTATATGTTGACTTATTTTTGTAACTCTGCTTATTCTTCCTATGCCTTTGCTGATATTTTTTTTTTTTTTTTTTGAGACGGTAGAGTGTTGCACAGGCTAGAGTGCAGTGGTGTCATCATAGCTCACTGCAACTTCTAACTCCTGGCCTTGAGT